ATCAAGCTGCGCGAGGCTGCCGGGCAGGTAATCGGCAAGCTTCTTTTTGCACTGGAGGCAAGGGAACCAGAGCCTGAAAACAAAGGAGTACCAGTGAAAGAACTCCGCCTACGTGGCATAAAACGTGCGGCGTCTGTTAACAAATCTAAATCACCTCCTGATAGCAAACAGAGTGCAGACACCCAGGACCACCTACTCCCGCAACACCGTCATTATGATACTGGCAATGGCAACGCGTTTCAAAGTCAAATACAATCTCATAAACAAGAAGTTATTTCCCTTTCTCCGCCGAGTTCTGCAGGGACTCGACGTAACTCCTCGGTACTTTTACACGATCGCCATGACAATAGAAGAAACACGGCAACTCTGGCGGATGTACCTATAATAAGTCAATCATGTACTCCAGGATCTCGGTATATGGAGATTGTTATTGAGAAGATTGCTGTGAAGAATGAGGCAATTAACTTAAATAATCCAGCACCATTGCTTTTGGGAGGGATTTATTACCTAAAGACGCGATACGGCGGGATTACTTCGAGTACACCATCTGTTCAATGTCAAAGTCCGAGGGAAATTAAATATTCGCACCGTGTAAAATTTCTTGAGGCACCTGGTAAATCCGAGAAGCTTCGTTTCTCCCTGTGGGAAGATGACCGTCAAGTGGCGGGATTTTCACTGGACCCTGTCAAGTTCTCTGTGCCTCCCGGCGTTTGGAAGGAGTACTCCATTCCGTTTTGCTACTATCCGACGCAACAGGCAATCTCCCTGGAGGTAGCTGTGCGCCGTGTCAAGGCTGCCGAAGAGAAGTTAGTCAACAAGAAGGAAGAGAATGAGGAGAAAATTGATGTGTCTATCGTGAAAAATGCAACGCCGTCTTCAGAAGCCAAGAAGCCACCAACTCAGCCTACATCTGAGGCGACGAAGGTCGCGGAGCAGAAGTCTGAGTCTTTTCTCACGGTTCTGGGTACTCAGGATGGGATTCCTGCCTCATCGAGTGGCTTTTCCCCTGCGGAACCAATGAGTTACCAGCGCATAAACTCAGCAAGGGGCTACGTACAGAAGGGATATTTGGATTCCAATGTACGACAAAGTCACTGGAGGAATGCTGTGCCACAAGACGAGAAGGATAACTCAAGAGAAGGACCCACACCATTAGGACCTCAACCAATACAGCGTGATAGAAGCCTGGGGGATGCTGACGCCTATACACCCTATTCCATCTCGGAGAATGATCAGCGAGGTCTTCGTGTCCGTGCTGGAGAAGCCGCCATTACGGGACGGACTGAACGGGACGGAGAAATGAATGGCGTCAATCGAATGCAGTCATTTTTGGATCAAATTGCTTCTTCTGATCTGCGTTCTTTTTCTGCCACACGGCAAGCGGCGCAAGGAATGGAATTGCCGAGAGCGTCTTTGAGCCACCGCAGCATCGCATCCAAGAGAATGGAAAATGGCGGGAATTTGAGGCGAGACGAACGTGACGCCACGCCTTTGCGCAATCGTTTTTTCTATACCGCAAGCTCCAACCGAAAAGAGGAGAGACCTCTCTCCGCGTGTGGCACAAGTGGCAGCTCTACAAGGGAGCGTTTCTTGCAGATGCGGTCCAAATCCTTGAACGCCAATTCTGACGGTCCAAGGAGTGATGTGGCGTCTCTTAGCGACATCACAAATGGCTTTGAACGAAAGGCACATTCACTGAGCATCCGAGGTGGTAGTTTTACAACGCCGCGCCCTTCGCTAATGAAAGAATGGCTGGAGTGGCGTGAGCAGAGGGCCTCTGCTCAAGTGTCTCGGGCAGGGTCTGTGCATAGTGCCTTTAGCCGAAATGACTCAGTTGATTCCATTGCATCTCGTAATCGAGCAGTAAGTCCACTTCCAACGAAGTCGTTTGCTCATTTGTCCGAGCAACGACCATACCAGCCGCAATATGTTCGGCGGTCGTTGAGCAGGAGCTCCGCCACAAATGGGCGACCACCGCTGCCAATCCGCTGATCGGCAGAGGGAGGAAAAATGAAAATGGAGGATATATATATATATTTATGTATATACACGGAAGGTGTATAGAAATGTAGAAAAGATAGTACGGACGAAAAGAAAAAAACAATTTAGAAGAAGAAGAAGACTTTCTTTTACTCCCTTGCCTTAAAAGGGACGAGGGAAAAACGAAATGGGCTGTGAATAAATCAATTATACATTTATAGAGAGAAATAAAGGTCGAACGGTCATTTTTTAAGGCCAATTTATTTTATTTTATTTTATTTTGTTTTTGTTTTTTGACGTAAACGCCATGTGTATGTGGTGGCCCCCATATTTATAGAGCTATTTATATGTATCGTTTCATTTTGTTGTTGTTGTCTCTCTCTTCCTTTTCCTATTTTTGTGTGGGAAAACTCAAATTGCTGCATTTCCCTCGAATTCGCGTGTCTTTTCACATGATTTTGTGATACGTTCCGAGGTGGTTTTCTCCTTCTTTATTTTTCTATTTCTCCCCTTCTTGTCTGAGTTGTTGTTGGCGCCAATAGGTAATTTGGCGGAAAGCAACGAAAAGATTGAAGTAAAATTCAAGTAGAGCGATATAGAAGTGGAGAAAGGTGGACAGTAACAAGGAAAGGGAAAGGGGAAAACGGGAAATAAGAAGTCTTCTTGTTTGTAGACTCTCCACAGAACACTGGATTATTCTTTTGGCCGTTTATTTGTGTTTGTGCCCAGTATAAATTGGAGAACGGCGCACAATGTGCTGCGACAGTGAGGCAAAGAATCCAGATAATTGGAGGCTCTATCACTTATTGGGGCTAGAACAACCTGTGACGGCAAAACAGGTGCAGTGGACATTTCGGAAAGTCACGCTGCGTCATCATTTTTACCAAGCCTATCTTGTTCTCTCTGACACGGACCGCAAAAGTCTTTACGATGCACTTGGCGAGGATGCAGTGGGTTTTATCCACAGCGGGAGTTGGGGTCCTCTGTTACACTTGCTTGGTTCTAAGGCAGCCATTGGTTTTTATTTTGGTTCCACGGTAGTGGCTTTTTTGGCGCTGCTTCTTTTTTTCATTTTCCTGGGTGTTCGTGTGGATGATCACGTAGCTTGGTCATGGACGGCGGTTGCTGTCCCACTTTTTGTTCTGGTCATCGTGGCACTACTTATTACGGCCTTCGCCGCCATTGTAAGTTTGTTCTGGAGATCCACGTGGGAAGAAGGCATGCACTATGTCGATCGAATTCCAGCCGTCGGTAATTTTATTGCAGTAGTATGTTACACCATTTTTTGTTTTTTGGTTGTGAGTGCCGTGGGGAATGGCCATGTGGACTCGTCTGCGAAATTTGCAGCATATTTTTCCCTGCCTATTATAGCTGACGTGGTGTACTATTTGTCTTCTTTGGTATGGCGCTGGCCGCGTCGTATACGGTTGCAGATGGAAATTGGTCTAAATAATCCTAGTTGTTTCTTGTGCTACGGATTTTTTTTTCTGGGACTTATTTATCCATGTATTTCGATTGCGCAATGGCTTTTGATTGGCCGCCGAATCGACCGAAGTATTGAGAGTAGCTGGTATGTTGTTTTTATTCCGTTTTGTTTCCGCGCTGCCTTCCGTGTGCTGGAGGCTTATATGCGCAGCAAGATGAAGTGGACCATCGGTGTCAAAACAGTTATGGGAATTACGTTTGACACGTTGGGTGCATTTTTCTTTAATGGAATGCTGCTTGTCTCACTGTATTTTGTTGCCGTACGCATCACGCGAGGGAAGGAAGAAGTGCAGATGCCTCTGGCACTGATTCCTGTTTACGCTGCTCTGTTGTACCTTTTGTGCGCCATGTTTTTCACTGTCGTTTATCTTTGGGGAAAAAATGCCGACAATGAGCGTGAGGAGCGGCTAAACAACTTGAAGTGGATCCCGACGGAGCTGTCGAAGGATCGTCAGGGCGGCCCGATGCTTGTACGCGACTTTGACAGGGGCGCAGACGACGCAAGCTGGAACGATATTGAAGACGATAATGGGTCATCTTTGGTTTTTCATGGAAGAAACGGAGAGGGAACTGAAAATTACGATTACTTTGAAAGCGTCACAGATGAAGACCTTCTTGACGAGCACCACGGTGACGAGGCTCCAAAGACACCGTACGGAGTTTCTGCTCCACTCGACGAAGACGTCGGGCCTTACTTTGGGAGCCACACCCCAACCGCGACGGACAGTGAAATGGCAAGACGACCACGGGGAGGGCCTGTGCATCATGACCCGCTTAACCTCGAAAGGCATGGTGACGACCTCGATAGCACAGAGAGCGACAATGGTGAAGAGGAGGAATATGATGAAGAATACACGGACGATGATGATCGTATAGGGACATTGATGTCCTCCTCTCCCACTTCCAGTGCCTTCTTCACATCAAGCAACCATTCCGCGGGACGCTGAAACAGCACATAATTATTTTTCTCTCTTATCCAGGAAAAAAAAAAAAAGAAGAAAGAAATTTGAGGAGCAGCCTCATTTTTGTGCCTAACAGATGAAGGTATGTGCTGGTGCTAGCAGTTCTGGGATGTTTTTTCTTTTTTTCTCTTTTTTTTTTTGTTGTTGTTATTTTGTATGTGTAGCGGTTTTTTTTTTTTTTTTCCTGGAAGGCGCGAGCAATTTACGGGAAAATTAATAAATGCGAAAAAGAAACAAAAGATGGAAATTTTCTGAGACTTGACGAGTTAGAGACATGTCTCACGCAACTTTTTAGAGAAATAATAGGGGAAAGTGTGTGAGGTTGTTGGAGAAGGAATCGAGAGAGAATTGCTATGTACATCTGTTTTAAAAGCTAAGCAGGCGAATGATTTGGTGCGAATTGTATAGTTTTTAATCTGTGTATTTTTATTTCTGTATGATTCATGTCTATAACTGGCTTTTTGTATGTTTTTTGTTTTGTTTTTTCTTTCGCAAGGGCTGAAAGTCTGTTGTGTCTTGACAGTTGTCGTCCATTAAGCATTGAAGGCAGGCACAACCAATGAAACGAAATTGATGGATATTCGGACATGTTTATGTATATATGTATGTAATTCTTTGTGTATTTGTTTGTTTGTGGTGGCACCTTGGTGTGTTGGTGTCCGGGGAAGGGGGTTCGGATCAACGGATGGGGCGTTGGTAGGGAATGAGAGGGGGAGAGAGGGCGAGTGGCGCGGCCAATGGCGAAGCAGCTGCGGTTTTTTAAAAAGCTTTATTATTTTCTTACTGATTTTGTACGTTTTTTTTTTTTTTTTTTTTGTTTTTTTGCAGCTCGAAAGTGACGGCGCATTTTTTTTTTTTTTTTTTTTGGCGAGCAGTGTGTTGACGCTCCCCCATCTTGCCCTCCTTTTGCGCCCACTGTCAGACATCATGTCCGTTCCTTCCATGTGCCTCATTATTTGCACTTCTTTTGTTTTTGCCAGCCAGTCGGGATCTGCAGCACACAAGCCTGGGCAGCACAAAAAGTTTTTTTTTCTTTTCTTGTGTGCGTGTGTGCCACACTCCATCGTTCTCCGCGTTTGTCGTTTTGGTGTTTTTCGCGAAGAATTGCGCAGGATGGCGGTGCAGGGCGCAGCAGAAATGTTTAAGGCCTTTTTTCAGTCAAAAGATGAGAATATGAAGTCATTTCTTTGCTCCTTTGTGGAGCTTTCGGCGGCGGAACGCGCCCTTTTGGTTTTTGGCGAACAAAAAGGTGAAAAACCGGGTGGCACTGCGATGGAGTCGCATGCGGATGCAGAGATGTTCACGGCGATGGTGCGGAACTTTCGTACTGACGCACAAAATGGTAATGACGATAATACGGCGGTTGCTAGCATCAAAAAGGATGGCGCTTCCAGTGGCGGTGCTGGGAAAGACCGTGAGGGTTTAATGCAGGCACAGCAGCACGCAACGTCTTTGCACCTGGATGGCACTGAATTGGAGGAAGAAGTGCTGGATGAGTCGAAAGCGCTTAAGACGTCTGCAATGACGGCCTTCTTAAATTACGGCCTTGCGGACGTTGTAACAACGTTTGACAACTTTATTGGTGGTGAGACTGAAGCGGAAATTGCATTGACTAAAAAACCGTCGATAGCCGAGAAGGTCATGGATCACCGATCATCAGTGGAAGAGACGGGGCCGGGCGGAACGACTCCTGCGGAAAGGAGTAAAGAGGACGGGAACATCGTTGTTGATGAAGGGACCACTTCCGCTGTGGAAGGTGTGCAGTCCGACTGGGATGCCTTGCGTGAAGGAGGCGGGGATGATAATAGTGACTATGACGATGACGATGATGATGTAAGCTTCAGTGACGTTGAGCTGCCAGGGCTCGTAGTGAGTGCCACATTGGAGGAACTTCCCTTGAAAGCTCAGCGGTGTGGCGTTTTTCTTTCTGCAACGGACCTTGAATTGCTGCGGGACGACGATGACGAAGAAGTGCAGCTGTTTGTCATCGATCCCTGTTTTGACTACGACGCCGACCCTGTTGGTAGGGCGGCGAGAACACACCCACCATATCTGCGCCTGTGATGCATGCGCCGCATTTCATTTTTTTTTTTCTGTTGCTGTTGTGTGCGTGTCCGTCAATTTTTTTTTGTTTCCCAGATGGTCTTTGCCCGGTGTTTCGTGGGAGGTGCGACTTTCCTGTTAACCGCCGTTGGCTTTTCTTTTCCTTTCTCTTGAAGAGAGCGTGCACAACCGGGACGAGGCCGCAGAACGGCATTAAAAACAACAACAACAACAACAAAACGAACCAACAAAAGGGAGGGGAGGGGAAAGGATAAAATAATAATAATAATAATAAAGGGAACTCAAGCGAATAAACGGAAAACAACAAAAACACAAAAACAAAAAGAGAAATATCATAATTATTGATTATTTTACATAGTTTACGTACATCAAGCATGCTTAAGGAAAAGAAATTGGCCATGGCGATGATGCTTTTGTACTGCATTCTTTTGCCTGTTATGGCGTACTTCTCCTGGAAGTTTATAAATAATACAGGGCTGACATTTACCGCTCCAAAAAAAACAATAGTCTATGATGCGATGCAGACGGCAGAGTTGTATTTTCCTCATCAGTTGCCACTTGACCCCTTGTATATGCTATTAACATCTCGTAATAAATCCAAAAGCATTTTAGAGGACCCGCACTTTGAACCCTTTTGTGAGTATCTTGTGGATCAGGTAAAAAACAAGAGTAGTCCTTTCTTTGGTGTTGTAGAAGGCGTGGATGGATTTTGTACCATTCCGAATTATAGTTCTTTGCGCTATCACCTTATTGGTGGGGATCATAATGAGTCAAGTTTGATAACCATCATTTTGTCATCTTCAGTGGATAGTCGAGATGTACTTCCAACGATCGTTTCTGTTGTTGATACATGGTGTGATTTAAATGATGCGCAATTTACCCGGGAGTATACCGACAAGAGATTGATATCACGCGACGCGACGGGTGGTATTGTAGGGGATTTGTTCCGCGTTGATGTCATTTCCATTCCAATGGCATTTATGGTGTTGGTATATTGTGTGGGCTCGGTGCGGTTGTTGTTAATTCCATTGTTTACACTTCCTTGTACCGTATCGATTGCGTTTGGCATCATGTATCCGATTTCGTTATGGATGGAGGTTTCATCCTTTGCGCCGGAGATGACTCTTGGTGTGGTTGCAGCTCTCTCGATTGATTATTCTCTTTTCATTCTGACGCGTTTCCGGGAGCAGGTGACGATCCAGGAGCTTCTTCTCGGCCGAAACCCAAAAGCGGAGTTGGAGGTGGTGAAAAATACTGCCACAATGTCGGCAGACATTATATGTGTGTCGGGGATAGCGGTTTCGTTGGCTGTCGGAATTTTAGCCCTTCTTCCCGTTCTTTTTCTCTCCACGATTGGATTGACAATGTCCATCACCGTTCTCTGCGCCGTTTTTGTGAGCCTCACTGTGCAACCTGCTCTCCTATTGATTTTCTACGACTTCTTTGGACATCCTCCCACATGGAACGAGGTTTGGCACAAACTGCGTACGTGCTGCGGCTGTGGGAGTTCTCTTCCCCCAGACTCTTTACGCACAGACACCGATGAGGACGCATCTACGGCTATGCCACAAGACCCATTGCTTGTGGATAGCGAGATGTCGCGTTCAGAGCTTGAGCTACTTGAATACGAGGGACAAATGTCATCGTATTGGTTTAAAATTGGCCGGATGTCTTTTCGCCATCCGTGGATTGCAGCGGCGATAGTTCTTATTCTTGGTGCACCTTTTTTTTACTTTGCACTGCAGCTGCGGATGGACTTTAACGTTTTCACGCAAATTCCACGGAACAGTCACCATGGGAATGTTTTGAGACGAATCCAACATGACATTGGCAAGGGATCTTCTATTCCATTTTACATTCTTTTTTCTGTCCGTGGGACGTATGACATTTCGTTTTGGAAAACGAATGAGATGACAAACACGATAAAATCTGTCATTGAAGATATTGTAGCAACCACAGGGCAACCGTACTCGTCGATTATATCGCCTAATATGATTATGAAAAACGAGGGCGATGCTGTTTATTGGCTGAATTCGTGGGAGTCGTTTCTGCTTTATTACACAAATAAAGAATATGAATATCTTTTTAAACGAACTGTTTCTTTTCCAGGAAATAAGGCGGCTTTTATTTTTGTTACACCTCCTGTAAATCCCTTTGGTGCGTCTGCTAATCGATACCTGAATCAAATATATGATGTCCTTAAGAAGCACGCATCAGCGAATGTTTATTTTGACTATGGTATCCTCGGAGCGAGCAGTGCTTCATGGGCAATTATGAATGAATCACTCGATTTTTTTCCATTTCAGATTGTGGTTGCATTGGGTGGTATTTTCATTATTATTATGGTCATTTTTCGTTCTTTATTTTTGCCAGTTCGCCTCATTGCAACGGTCATTTACACAATCGGCGTTTCATTTGGAGTGGGTGTCGTAGTATTTCAGTACAACTGGCTTCATCCAGTGTGGAAGGCGTTGGATGGTGTAGGGAATTTTTGCTTTTTAATTCCTTTATTTGCATTTTTATTTCTTTCCGCCCTTTCTTTGGACTATGATGTGTTTCTTACGACACGCATCATTGAGTTTAAGAAGAAGGGCTACAACGACGAGGCTGCTATAGCGAAGGCAGTGTGGAAGACCGGCCCCATTATATCTTTTGCTGGTATTATAATGTTTCTGACTATTGGGTCAATGGCTTTTTCGTCTGTTATGATGTTGTCCCAGTTTGCTGTGGTTTGTGCGACTGCAGTGCTTTTAGATACTTTTGTAGTGCGACCATTATTTGTTCCTGCATTGATGGGTTTAGGGTTTGGACGCAGTTTGTGGTGGCCGCGCCGGTTTCCTGAGCTGAAGCGTGATGTACACGACATGCGAATCGACACTACTGACACTTCAGAAGGACTTTTTATCGAGGAGGAAGTGGATCGCGAAGCGGCTTTTAGAGTAGAAAATGTGCGTGAGGAGAGGGTTTTTAAGCCAGAGAAACCCAATCAGCGGTCTTCCGCTCTTGCTCCGGGTGATGACTTAAAGAAGCATTGAGTATTTATTTAGCGTTGGTTGTTGCTTTTTATTATTTATTTATTTATTTATTTATTTATTTATTTTTTAGCGAGATTCTCTCTTTTTTTGCCCAGCGAAAGTATTAATACATTTCATGGTTCTTTTTTTTTTTTT